AAAAAAAAAAAAAGACATACACTCCTCCTTTATGGAATTGTCCTGGAAGGCGCCCTTGGCATATCTTGTTATTTGGAACTTAATCTGATGATTATGTTTAGTTATACGGAAGTTAAGAAATGCAGATGGTATTCTGTATTCTAGAATTTAGACTACGTGCCCAGCTGAAAATGTGAGGTTCTATGACAAAAATACAAATAGATGTGACAAGTAAGTGGGTCACAGGAGGAAATCATGACATTGGCCCCTTTGCTTTAGGCCCTGTGGCAAGTGGTATAAGCTTCCAGAGCCTGTGTGTTCTTATCTCTGAAATGGGATGATTAGGAGAGCTGATGTGCTGGGAAAGGGAGCTCTGAACAGATATGAGGGGTCTAGTAGCTGGGAGGGGGGATTGTTACTGCCCAATACCCCCTGCCTCTAGGCCCATGAGGACTCAGAGAAACTACGGGAGATTGTGCTGCCCATGGAACAGGAGATTGAGGAGCTGAAGGTGAAGCTGCTGAGGGCAGAGGAGCTGATTCAAGAGATGCAGGTAAGGGGGTGGCCAGGGGACACTGAGGGAAGAAGGGGCCCTGCAAGACCCTGGCCCCCAAGCCTCTTGCCTTCTTCTTCCCTAGAGACGGCCCCAGCAGCCCCCATCCCTGCACGGCTCTACGGAGTTGCTGCCTCTGTCCCGAGACCCATCACCTCCGCTGGAACCTCTGGAGGAGCTGAGTGGAGATGGGGGTGCGGCGGCTGAGGCCTTTGCCCACAACTGTGATGACAGTGCCTCCATCTCCTCCTTCTCCCTGGGTGGCGGGGCCAGCAGCACCTCCCTGCCCCGCAGCCGCCAGGGTCTGAGCCCTGAGCAGGAAGAGACAGCCTCTCTGGTGTCCACGGGTACCCTGGTCCCTGAAGGCATCTATCTGCCCCCTCCTGGTTACCAGCTTGTCCCAGACACCCAGTGGGAGCAGCTGCAGGTAGAGGTGAGTGGTGTGGTTGAGCCTCCCAGCAGACGTGTACTGAGCACTGCCTGTGCCCAGGCCCTTGAGTTGTAGCTGCAATTCTGCAGGGGAGAAAAGCAGCTGCCTCCTAGTGAAGGGAGCCAGATGTACACATGCACATGTATGCGCAAGGAAGATATTCCTCGTGTGACGACAGGGAGGTGCTAAGGATGAAATTGAATAGGGTGATGGGATAGGGGCTGGCAGTGAGTGAGACATACCAGAGCTCAGGCTGGAGCTAAAAATGGGGAGATGAAGCTGGGTACGGTGGCTTACGCCTGTAATCCCAGCACTTGGGAAGCCAAGGTGGATGGATTGCCTGAGCTCACAGGTTTGAGATCAGTCTGAGCCAGTGTGAGAACCTACTTCTAAAAATAGCCGGGCACTGTGGCAGGTGCCTGTAGTCCCAGCTACTTGGGAGGCTGAGGCAAGAGAATCGCTTAAGCCGGCTTGGCACTTGTTGCTCAATGGTTAGGGCTCTGGCCACATACACCAGGGCTGGTGGGTTTGAACCCAGCCTAGGCCTGCTAAACAACAATGACAACTACAACAACAACAAAAAAAAAATAGCTGGGCTTTGTGGTAGGTGCCCGTAGCCCCAGCTGCTTGGGAGCCTGAGGCAAGAGAATCGCTTAAGCCCAAGAGTTTGAGGTTGCTGTGAGCTGTGATGCCACCACACCTTACTGAGGATGACATAGTGAAACTCTGCTTCAAAAAAAAGAAAGAATCACTTAAGCCCAGGAGTTTGAGCTTACTGTGAGCTATGATACCACAGCACTGTACCAAGGGTGACAAAGTGAGACTTTGTCTCAAAAAAAAAAAAAAAGAACCAGGTGATGGGAAGGATGTGAGTTGTTAGAGACTATGGGCCTATGGGCAGAGCCAGGCACTTTGGGAGGCTGAGGCAGGAGGATCACTTGGGGCCAGGAGTTCAGAGACCAGCCTGGGCAACTTAACAGGACCCCATGTCTAAAAAAAAATAACAAAAAATTAGCTGGGCACAGTGGTGGGCATCTGTAGTTTCAGCTACTCAAGAGGCTGAAGTGGGAGGATCACTTGGACCCAGGAGCTCAGGGCTACAGTGAGCTGTGATCATACCACTGCACTCTAGCTAGGTGACAGAGTTGGGACCCTGACTCATGAAAAAAAGAAAGTCAAGGGAAGAAAGAACTACTGCAAGTTCAAAGGCCCCGAGGATGGATAGACCACGGTGTATCTGAAGAACAAGAAGGCCATTAAGGAGTAGAGAGATCAGCAAGAAAGGCAGGGACCACGTCAGTAGGGCCTCATGGGCCCGCTGTGGGGTCTGCATCTTACATGAGGAGAAATCGGCAATGGCTACAGCGTCAAGCTAGGGAGAGGCCTCCCAACCTTAGGCTTTTGTTAGCTCACACTTTGTGTAGGGACAGCCTGTGGTGGGGCCACAGGAGGAGCTGAGTGGTTGGGACTACAGGAGAAGAGAGGGACTACAGGAGATGGCAATAGTGATGGAAGGCAGTGGGAAGATTTGGAATCCACTTGGAGGTTAACTAGGCAGGCCTGCTGGTGGGTTGACATGGAAAGTGAAGGGAAGGCTCGGCGCCTGTGGCTCAAGTGGCTAAGGCGCCAGCCACATACACCTGAGCTGGCGGGTTTGAATACTGCCCAGGCCCACCAAACAACAATGACGGCTGCAAACAAAAAATAGCCAGGTGTTGTGGCGGGCGCCTGTAGTCCCAGCTGCTTGGGAGGCAGAGGCAGGAGACTCGCTTGAGCCCAGGAGTTGGAGGTTGCTGTGAGCT